AATATGTGCATGTACTATTTTTTGTTTTAGAAGCTGGGAAAACATTGTACCAGAGATCAGCAGATTGCTGGTGCTATGCAGGTCTCCTGCAGACTGTCAGTATAATATCTCTGCTTGTACCTTGCATGAGCAGACAGTTCTACGTTGCCAGGAAGAATCAATGAACTACCACAGTGCTCAACAGCACCGTGGTAGTTCATTGAGAACTGAATATGGGTGTAACATGTAACATGTTACAAAAGGTGAACTTATCCTTTAATGCTCCACACATAACATTTTGGTCATATCAAATACATGTTGAAACTTGTGATTTGTTATAAAAAGACTAATTATTTCTAACTGACAGGAGGGTTGCCCAGTATGTTCCTCTGCTGCTATACACTTCAGGATTTGTTGTGTTCTACATTCAAAGTTGCCCTTTTGCAAACTACTGTTTTAAAGTGTTATATACTGTAGACTTTGGGTTAAAATTATTTTTTTGTTGAAATTCAAACAGCATATGACCAGTAATCTTGAACTCCATAGAGAATATGATCAGCATTTGTTGATGAGTATGTGCTTGAAATTACCAAACTAATGGTGCTGTTCATTATCCAACACTTAAAAAGATGACCAGTACTTCAAGAAGTACTGTGTGCTTAATGGTTTAATGTCATTACATAACAAAAAACAAGGTTTGCGAGCCATAAAGTAACAACCACTGGGTTTTTATTATTATTATTATACAGTATTTATAAAGTGTCAACAGTTTGCTCAGCGCTGTACATTACAATGGGAGACAGAACATGTGACATGCGACAGTACAATAACAATACAATGCGATACACAAGGGGTTCGAGGGCCCTGCTCCTTGGTGCTTACAATCTAGGAGGTAGGGGATAGCGGTACAGGAGGAAATAGCTGTGGGGGATGGAGTGGTAGGAAGATTTGAGGAGGTCGGGAATTAGCAGGGGGGGTGGGGTAGGCTTCCCTGAAGAGGTAGGTTTTCAGGGTGCGCCTAAAGGAGAGGAGAGTAGGTGATAGTCTGATGGATTGGGGTAGGGAGTACCAGAGTATGGGTGACACCCTGGAGATGTCCTGGAGGTGGGCATGGGAGGAGGAGACTAGGGAACTAGAGAGAAGGAGGTCTTGTGAGGAGCGGAGAGTGCGTGTAGGGTGGTACTTGGATATTAGGTCATTGATGTAGTTTGGGGCAGTATGATGAACAGCTTTGTACATCAGTGTTAGGATTTTGAATTTGATCCGTTGGGCAATCGGAAGCCAGTGGAGGGATTGGCAGAGGGGGGTGGCGGAAATGGAGAGGTTGATAAGGTGGATGAGTCTGGCTGCCGTATTCAGGATTGACTGAAGCGGGGATAGCTTGTGGCGAGGCAGGCTAGTGAGGAGGGAGTTGCAGTAATCGAGTCGTGATATGATGAGGGAGTGGATGAGCTGCTTAGTGGTTTCTGGGGTTAGGAACGTGCGTATTTTGGCGATGTTGCGGAGGTGGAGTCTGCATGAGTTTGTTAGTGATTGGACTTGGGGCTGGAAGGATAGATTGGAGTCAAGAATGAATGGGTTACTTTGCAAATGAAACTCTGTATGTCCTTTAAATGCTATTTACTTTTCTGTCCCAACATGACCTCACAGTAAACTGTCAAGAACACTTCTTTCGATGCTGAGCATCAATTGACAAAATTAAGCTTTGTGGACATCCATTAGCTTAAACAGATCTCTTTTGTTAACAGGGTTTTTTTCCCAAGACTTTCCATTCACTAAATTATTTTCTGTTTTTATTTTCCACTGTCCTTGTAAATTTTAGAACCTATAATGCTTGAAAAAGAGTAATTCTAACAGCACCTGACAGGGGCGTCCCTAGGCTTGGTGTCACCCGGTGCGATAAAACTTGGTGACACCCCCTCCGATGATCCCCGCAGAATGGATCGGATCTGTGGATTGAGCATAATGGATCGGACTCCAATCCATTATGCTCCCCAATCCACAGATCCAATCCATCCTGCGGCGATCTTCGGCTTTCTTTACAGCTTACCTTTTTGTGGAGCGGGTCCGGTGTCACCCTGTATAGGTTGCATGCCGATGATCCCCACAAGATGGTTCGGATCTGCGGATTGAGCATAATGGATCGGAGTGAGATCCACTATGCTCCCCAATATGCAGATCCGATCAATCCTGCGGGGCTAATTGGCATGCAACCTATACGGGGTGACACTGGACCCGCTCCACAAAAAGGTACGTTGTAAAGAAAGCCAACAATCCCCGCAGGATTCATCGGCTTGCGTTACAACTTACCTTTTCGTGGAGAGGTTCCGGTGTCACCCTGTGCGGTAGGTGTCACCCAGTGCAGGCCACACCCCGCGCACCTCCTCAGGACGTCACTGTCGCCTGATTACCCCAAGCAGCATTACACTGATCTACGGGCTTTTCTTACAGAAAAAGCTCCCACACTACTGGGAAGTTTTGTCACTACTTACTTCTCCCCACATTGCTATTGACCCATTAAACCTATGATGGGCTTCCTCATCTACAAATAGGAATACACTGGATGCAGGAAGCTGTTGGCAAATATTAGCCCTATGAGTTAACACTGGATGTTTAAATTAAAAAGATAACATCCTCTCTCAAACCAAATATGTGTTGCTCACCAGTGAGTTCAGCAGCTGTCTCTACCCAAGAAAAAACTGGTTTTACACTGTGAAATGTGTTGAGGCAGCGCTACTATATGATGAATAATGTACATACAAATTATGCAATAAATCAAAAACAGTCCAACATAAATTAAATAAATTGAAAGTGCTCTTCCAATCAACATAAGAAAGTTCATATATAGATGCCTCAATTTCTTATAAGTCCACTATGCAAATCACCCCATGCACTCTCCACTACACACTGCACTCACCAGATGTGACCCCTTGTTTGCACAAGAAAGTCAATGCACATTTTCTGATGCCCAATATTCTCCAAAGGAATGCAAATAAAACACTTTACCAGATCCTTCACCGAAATATTTCACCACCTTCAGGAACGGTCCCCTCGTCCAATGATTTAACATGAATTTACAGTGCAACTCATTACTTTCTAGATTTAACAGCAGTTCCTCCACTCTAAATCTTAGTAACAGTCTTACTCTTGATGGATGACCCTTTGGAAAGATGGTACCTATTGCCGTCCACTGTTCTCCACTCAAAAGATAAGGGACTATTATCTCATAATGTCCACAGTGTTCCTTTTCTGTCTGATTTCTAAATGACCCCTATTTACAGTCCACATTCTCTCCTGACAAACAACATATAGAAGCTTTCCTGATGAACACTCACTGTGTACAGCACTGCTCATGGGATCATCTAGGAAAGGGACAAAAATGCTGGCACTGCTGCTTCCGCTTCTGGGATCGGTGGCAATCTTAGTAAATGAATGTCCCCACATGGTAGATTTACACTCTGCAAGTGTAGCACCATGGGGGACATTAATTTACTAAGATTGCCATCAATTCCAGAAACGGAATCGGCGGAATGATGTTAGCATGTAGCTCCTCCCAAGGAGAAGCTTCTGGGACCGGCAGCCATTTTAGTAAATGAATGCCCCCACATGGTAGATTTACATGTAAAGTTTGGTATATGAATTTAATGGATGGATGGATAGAAGCTGATTTTCCAAAAAAATTATTACATTATATACCTTTTTCTGTGCCTCCAGTGTGGTGAACATTCCTCCTAGGCTTCATATATTGGTGGTGATGGAGGCCCCCTGTGCAAGTGGAGGATTACAATGCAGATGGAATTCCATACTGCAATGCCTTGTCTGTGCTAAAAATGTTGTCTGCTGCCATTCTGATGCAGCTTAATAGCTGGAGACTGTGCAAAGGAGGTGTTTTGGCGCAACACAGGGTAGTTAATTTACTAAAACTGGAGAGTGCAAAATCTGGTACAGCTGTGCATGGTAGCCAATCTGCTTCTAACTTCAGCTTGTTTAATTAAGCATTAACAAAGAAAACCTGGAAGCTGATTTGTCATTATACTGAGCTGTACCAGATTTTGCACTCTCCAGTTTTAGTAAATCAACTCCATGGTGCTATATTTGGACTGTTGGATGAATACTACACACAGACAACTGTTGGAGTTATTATTTACCACTAAAAAGAGTCACATGTTTGTGGGACCTTTTATGCATTTTTTAAAGTCATGTTTTTGTTGGTTATTTTTGTCTTACGTATATTATTTACATTTTGGTTTTTGATTATGCAATTGCTATATTCATTCTTGATTACTTAAGTGGTACACTTTTATTTTCACATTTTATTTTGGGGTTTGAATACTTACCTTACTTGCTAGGTGCTTAAATATTGCACTTGTCTGATTTCAGAAGCTAAGCAGGGTTGGCCAGTACTTAGATGGGAGACTGCATTACCTTACTTGCTAGGTGCATAAATATCCTCTTTTTCACTAACGCTGACTATGCCTTTTGAAACTTTTATTCATATGCTTTAACCACTTTAGGACCTGCATTGTACTGCGGACAGGCCACTCCTACAGGCACAGAGACGTACCTGAATGTTGCTCCCTTCTTCCAGGTTCAGGGTAAGTGCCCCCCCCCATTTCCCCCCTGCCTCCTTCTGCTAGAATTAAACACAGCAGGATTTTGGCAGCAGGTCCCAGCGAATGATGCAGCTGTTCAACTGTCTCCAGTCACAGCCCAGAGCCCTGTGTTAACAAACAACACAGGGCTCTGTAAAGAGGGAACTGGCTATCTGTTCCTTCTCCCTGCACAGCAGGAAGAAGGAACAAATAGATTTTTAGTAAAAGGCAGCATATAATACACACATTAACACTTGTTAGGCACACACTTATCCCCTTCATTACTCTGAGATAGAGTACAGTGTGTAGTATTATCACTGATCACTATATTAGTGTCGCTGGTGATCTCAGTGTCAGTCAATTCCCACTCAGTGTCAGTTCATGTCAGATTGCCCGCAACACTATCGCAGTCCCACTATAAATCTCTGATCACTGCCAATACTAGTTTAAAATAAAAATAAATAAAAATTCCAGTATTTATACCATAGTTTGTAGACGCCAGGGGCGGACTGACAACTCATGGGGCCCCCGGGCAATAGGGGATCATGGGGCCCCTGTGTCCTTGCCCAAACTCAAAAAGCCTATGAAAAAGGTTCCAGGGGCATCTCATGGGGCCCCCTACTGACCCCGGGGTTTCCAAATGGTCAGACCGCCCCTGGTAGACGCTATAACTTTCACATAAACTAATCAATATACTCTTATTGGGATTTTTTTTACAGAAGACAGGTAGCAGAATACATTTGGTTTAATTTTAAAAAAAAATGTTATTCAATATGTTTTATAGCAGAAAGTAAGACATATTTGCTTCTTTACAAAATTTTCTGTTTTCGTTATGTAAGAAGAAATAAAAAACCCAATGGTGATCAAATACCACCAAAAGACAGATATATTTGTGTGAAAAAATGAAATAAATTTCATCTGGGTACAGCATTACATGACCGCGCAATTACTAGTTAAAGTTGCTCAGTGCCAAATAGCAAAAAAGGTCCTGGTCATGAAAGAGCTCAAGTGGTTAAACAAAATAAAAAGAAAAAAAAAATCTATGTAACTGCGTAGAAAGTTTTATCAAGAGTTACTGTAGAATTGAATTTGTTACAGACAAATATTTGTTGTTTGTTATTAAATTAAAACCAATTAAAACTACATGCCCTTTCAGAACTACCCTGTCCCCAGGGTGACTATGCTATTGTGTGATTTCACTACAGAACAAACAGCATTGTCACCCTATTAAATTAATTTGAAAAATAAATTTAATATACTGGTGGGTTGAACAGGTATTAAAACTGTAATGTGATAATGTTAGTAACAGAGGGCATCATATATGTAATTATGTGTTTTTCCCATATATCCACTTTAATAATACAAATAAATCAATAATGGCAGCAATTGTTTGCTGTTGGTACAGCTACTACTAAACTCTGCTGCTTTGGTCAGTGCTAATGCATGTGAGGGTAATATAGGTAGTGTTATGGATATTGAAATGGGAAATACTGTCATAAAGTTGGTACAAAGTACAGCTAAAAAAAGAAATATGACCAAAGCTTTTTTTGGTCACACTTACTTGTGCTCTTCTGTGACCCAGAATCAACAAACAGTGGGCTAAAGCTTGCTTTCAGCTGACATCACTAAGCTGGTTCAGACCTTGGAGAGATCCCAAGAATAACCACTTCCCGTCCGTAGGATACCATATGACATTCAGGACTTGAAGTGGAGGTATCAGGAGGAGGCCTGCAACAACAGACATCATAACAGTATTTATTTATTTTTTTGGCCGCGGATCCTCTGTCAGTTTGGTCAGTGTGGATCCTCAGGGCAGGATAGAGTGATGTCAGCTCAAGGTACAGCAGTAGCAGGCCATTGGCCTGATGAAGGAGCATGCATGTTCTGAATGTGTGCCATGCCTGCTGTACCTGGAACTGACATCACTCCCTCCTGCCCTGAAGATCCACACCGACCAGGAAGTATTGCGAACCACCAGCACTGCCAAGGACAGTGCTTTGCAGACTTGCCTGCAGCAGGACCAGCCAGGAGTTGTACAGCGGTTGACACCAGTTTGACAAGCGCTCATTTGACTACTACTATTGTGAGTTGCCAATTTTGTGGAAATAAATTATTTGCCTATATTGCTGCACTTAGATGATGCTGCTTCTCTCTCTTTTATGGTTCACATAGAGTCTCTTCTAGTTCTTTTTAAATCGACTGCTACTGAGTCAAGCATTGTTGGAATGTCCCTTAACCACCTTTGGACTTAAAGGACTTTACTTGTGTGGTTAATATACTAATCATCACAGTATACATCTGTTTTTTTCTTCTTAGAATAAAAAAATAAATATATATATATATACAGTATATATATATATATATATACAGTATACACTGTATATATATATATAATATAATTTTTTTTTTTTTTTTAAGCACAAAGGTGAACACATACATAAGTTGTGCACGCATATATTTTCACCATATGTGAGGTTTGGCTGCAAACATCAGAGCAAGAGCAATAATTCTAGCACCAGACCTCCTGTGTAACTCTAAAATGGTAACCTGTAAAGACTTTTAAAGTGTATTGGGTATTTTTGTTTGGCACCGTTTTATGGGAGTACGCAATTTTAAAGCATGACATATTAGATATCTATTTACTTAGCATAACATCATCTTTTATATTTTACCAAACAATTAGGTATTATATTGTATTTATGTGCACTAGAATTCATTAAATGGCATTTTAAAAACTGCTGCACAAATATTGTGTGACATAACAAAATTGCAGAATCAACCATTTTATTCTCTAGGGTCTCTGCTAAACAAATATATGATGTTTGGGGGTTCTGAGTAATTTTCTAGCAAAAAAGTTTTACATGTATGGGAGAAATGTCAGAATTGGACCCAGGGGCAGACTGACAACTCATGGGGCCTCCAGGCAATAAGGGTTCATGGGGCCCCTGTGTCCTCGCCCACACTCAAACCACACCCAAAAAAGCCTATGATAGGTACCAGGGGCATCTCATGGGGCCCCCTACTGACCCCAGGCCCACGGGCAGTGCCCAAGTGCCTGAATGGTCAGTCCGCCCCTGCGTGGCCCATTAGGAAAATAGATAATTTCAGAATCCACCCAGATGCCTGACTGGCAGCTGGCTCAGCCTCTTAACACCTCTGAGAACCCACGCCAGCCACTCTTGCCCCCTTCACAGCCCAATGTTCCAGTGAGCACTGGAGGGGAAGAACAGAGAGCAGTTACTGACAGTCTTATACATTCAAAAAAGGTCACAAATTGACAAAATAAACTGTGCAATCTTTAAAGTGAAAACACTGAGCAAAATACAAATAAAATATTAATATTCAGTCCCAAAATGTGAATAATTGGTGCAACGGTGCTATATCTTTAACGGTGATACTCCATACTGAAATGACAAGTGCTTCACTGTGTTCACACTGGTGCCCCACATTGATGTAAACTCACCGTCATTTCATGGCCACCTACAGTTGTGGCCAAAATTATTCAACCCCCACTGAAATTGAGTGTTTTGGCCAGTTTGACATTGCTTTTGATCATTCAGTCATCTTGCTTACATTTACATTAAAGAGGCACTTGTAGGTCAGACAAATATAACAATACAGTTATATAATGAAATAACCACAAATGTCTTTTTCTGTGCTCACAGCATTATCAGTTTTATTCAACCCCCAAGTGACATTCAATCTTAGTACTTAGTACAGCATCCTTTTACAGTTATAACAGCTTTTAAACGTGAAGCATAGCTTGACACAAGTGTCTTGCAGCGATCTACGGGTATCTTCGCCCATTCTTCATGGGCAAAGGCCTCCAGTTCAGTCACATTCTTAGGCTTGCGCACTGCAACTGCTTTCTTTAAGTCCCACCAGAGGTTCTCAATCGGATTTAAGTCTGGTGACTGCGATGGCCACTCCAAAATGTTCCAGCCTTTCCTCTGCAACCATGCTCTAGTGGACTTGGAGGTATGCTTTGGGATCATTGTCCTGTTGAAAGGTCCAACGTCTCCCAAGCCTCAGGTGTGTGACGGACTGCATCACGTTTCCATCCAATATCTCCTGGTACTGAAGAGAATTCATGGTACCTTGCACACGCTGAAGCTTCCCTGTACCTGCAGAAGCAAAACAGCCCCAAAGCATGATTGACCCTCCACCATGCTTCACAGTAGGCAAGGTGTTCTTTTCATCATAGGCCCTTGTTCTTCCTCCTCCAAACATAGCGTTGATCCATGGGCCCAAACAGTTCTAATTTTGTTTCATCAGTCCACAGAACACTATCCCACAACTTTTGTGGTTTGTCCACATGGCTTTTGGCATACTGCAGTCGACTCTTCTTATTCTTTGGAGACAGCAAGGGGGTACGCCTGGGAGTTCTGGCACGGAGGCCTTCATTACGCAGTGTGCGTCTTATTGTCTGGGCTGAAACTTCTGTACCCACATCTGACAAATCTTTTCTCAGTTCCTCAGCAGTCACACGGGGACTTCTCTCCACTCTACGCTTCAGGTAGCGCACAGCAGTCGAAGTCAGCATCTTCTTTTTCTGCCACGACCAGGTAGCGTTTCAACAGTGCCCTTTGCCTTGAATTTGCGAATGATGCTTCCTAAGGTGTCTCTTGGTATGTTTAACATCTTTGCAATCTTCTTATAGCCATTGCCCTTCCTGTGAAGAGAAATCACCTCTTCTCTTGTCTTCCTGGACCATTCTCTTGCCTTCACCATGTTTGTAACCACACCAGTAAATGTCTAGAAGGAGCTGAGTATCACAGTCATTTTAAAGCTGCCTAATTGGTGCTTATTATGCTTGATTGCTGCTCGGTGACATCCACAGGTGTTTTCAATACCTGATGGAAAGCACCTGTATGAACCTCTGTTCTTCAGAGTGGTAGTCTTTAAGGGGTTGAATAATTGTGGCAATGAAGAAACCACATAAGAACCATTTACTACTGTATTACATAAACAATTGATGTCATTTTAGTTGCATTTGGGTAGTTACAACGTCCTTAGGATTTGATTCTGAATACAATTCCAAATGTACACTATAGTCCCTAAACCCCTTTACAGCATTGGGGGTTGAATAATTTTGGCCACAACTGTATCTCTAGGTAAGTCACACTTGCTTTTTGGGACTATTCCAGTTTGCAATCCAGTCCTGATGGTCGATATTCCTTCGCCCTTATAACCGTGGTTGGTGATAGTAACCAATAACTTTCCACTAGATCTGCATCAATGCTAGACAACTTCTCACCTCCACAGGCAGTATTTCATATTATCAGCATAAATCAAAACAAAACCAGACATCCCATAGTGTAAAACGGTATAAAACTTTAATATGGGGTCAAACAATAGAAATGCCACTCACAAAAAAAGTGCCTTTCCTGGCACTTAATTACAAAATTAAATGAATTGCCTCTGACACCAATATGTGTTCCCACTTGTACACAAGAGCCTTCCTTTTTCTTTTTTTTTTTAGTAATTGTATTTTTATTGATATTTTAACATGTACATTAAAAGCAATAAACATATTGACATGGCCATGTCAAAATGGTGCCGAAGTAAATACAACATGAGGTTAAGTAAGATGCAAGAGCTAGCGTCTGCCTGCCCCAGGGACAGACAGGTTTAATCCAAATGTCAATATGGGAGACAAATTTAAAATACAGGACTTAATCAAACATAACATTTTGAACCATAATATACATAAAAATCAGTTTCAAAGTTGAAAACCAACATATAACATAAAACCAGAAAAAAAGAAATAAGAAGTTAAGCATATACTGTGCATAGAAACCTATCAGTTGCAGCCCATGTATAGCCCACACAGTATTATATAGCATGACCTACTGAGTGTGTTATGAAAGTAAAAAAAAAAGGTTGAATAATGGCTTATCTAGAATTGGGGGAGCGCCATAAATTAAGTTGTCCCAAGAGTCCCAAAGTTTACCAAATTGGTGAAAATATTCCCCAGCTTAGTCAGTTAAATATTTCATATTACATACCTTTGATATAGCTGTGACAAGATTATTTAAGGAGGGAACATCCATTCTCTTCCAATACCTCAGAATTAAACACCTCGCCACAACCAGGATATAGATACACTATATTTTGGAGCATTTATGGAGGCCTTAATGGGTAAACCTAGAAAATAGTGGATAGGATATAAAGGAAAAGCAAAATCTATGTTCCATGTTAGTGTTTTGAATTTTATCCACTGGGCAACGGGAAGCCAGTGGAGGGATTGGCAGAGAGGGGTGGCAGATAAAGAACGGTTAGTAAGGTGGATGAGTCTGGCAGCAGCATTCATGATAGACTGAAGAGGGGATAGCCTGCGATGAGGTAGGACAATGAGGAGGGAGTTACAATAGTCAAGGCGAGATATAATAAGGGAGTGGATAAGTTGCTTAGTAGTTTCCGAGGTTAGAAATGGGCGTATCTTGGAGATGTTGCAGAGGTGAAGTCTACAAGATTTGGACAGTGATTAGATTTGGGGCTGAAAGGACAGATGGGAGTCTAGGATTACACCTAGTACCCTGGCATGAGGGGATGGACTGATGATTGTGTTATTGATCTTGATGGAGAAGTCATGGGAGGGGGCACAGGCTGAGGGGAATACTAAGCGTCAAGAGGATGTTGTCCTCAAATAGTAAGATTTTAAACTCTTTATTTCTAAGTTTAACACCTTTAATATCTGGGTTCAGTCTGATTGCCTCTGCTAATGGTTCTAGGCATAGCACAAATGACAGTGGGGGCAATGGACATGCCTAGTACCATTAAACATCTGAAAAGGCTCTGACACCATATAAGGAAGTTTGACTTGTGCTGTGGGTGCTGAATAAACAACTGCAATAGCTGTAAGAAATTAACCAGAGATACCTATATGGCACATGACTTCAAACATATAAGGCCAACTGATCCCTATCAAAGGCCTTCTAGGCATCCAGGTTTAAAGTAAAGCAGATGTATAAGTCTGATTAATTATTTCAACTAAATCCACTATCCTCCTAGTTTTATCTCCTGCTTGTCTAGCTAATAAGAAACCGACTTGATCTTTATGGATTTGTTTCGGTAAGGAGAGGGCCAGGCAGTTTGCCAATACCTAAGTGAAGATTTTGTAGTCTGAGTTTAGTAATGCTATAGGCCTGTAATTAGCTGGAGAAGCAGGGTTTTTCCCAGGTCTAGGGTTAACAGGAATGTATGAATGTTGAAATTGAGGATATGGTACTTCTCCTTTCATTAGGGAGGCATAGAAAGTTAATAGAGAGGGAGCTACTTGTGGGGAAAATTGTTTATAGTAAGAATAAAAGATACAGTCTGGGCCTGGAGCCTTCTCAGCAGGAAGTCTTTAGCCACTTCCCATAATTAATCTAAAGTAATATCAGCATTCAATGACATTCCATTAGATGGTTTTAGTTTTGGTAAGTGCAGCCCAGAAACAAATGTATCAAATAGTGCTTTATTAAATGGTGGTGCTGATCAGGAGAAAGGCAGTTGTATAATTTACGGTAAAAGTTTCCAAAAGCTGTCGCAATGCCTTGTGGGCAGTAAGTGGGAGTCCCATCTGGTTGAAGGATGGAGTAGATCAATTGTTAACTTTTAAAATGATGCATTGAAGGGGCTATTTTGATTGTTTTGGTCAATTAAATATGTAATATAAACTCTTTATTTTTTCAAATTGCCCCAAGTATATCTTTTGGCACATCAATAAAATTTGGTATTAAGCCCTGTGTTTACAATATTGATGGTTCACACATGCGCAGAATAGACATCCTTCATGGTATATAAGATTTGCCACTGGTGATGCCGGCTTTGTGCCATTCCCCTGATGATGCTGATTGGTGGCGAAACATGTTGGGCAAGACCTAGCCGGTGATGTCATATTCATGCTGACACTCGAGACCTTGGTGTCTGTTTCTTATGTGCTCCTCTACTTCTTATGTTTGTGAGTAATGTATATGTCTGCTTATTTTAAATAAAAACATTATTTTACGATATGACACCATTGTAGTCCTTTGATCTTCTCCTCCGGAAGGAATATTTATTTATTGCTCAAGAAGATTCCTTCTGGTGTCTACA